CCCACCCACAAAGGCGTGAAGTTATCCACATGTTAAATGTTTAAGTAGTTTAGTATTTGATAGGTGGAAATTTGCTACCTTTTTTAAAACCTAAAAGACATTTGGGGGGATGGGAGGAAGAAATACTTGTCATTTTTATATACATACATAACTTAAAAATGATATCCTAAATGGGTGATTCTATTTTTACCATAATATTTATATAGCAAATTAGTGAACAGTGTAGAGGAGATCAAAGAATATCAACCTGATGTAGTTATAAGAAAATCTACAGAACTTAACCTAAATGAAATGTATTGCCACATTTCAATGGACGCAAACATGGACAGGCGTAATTTTGTTTTATTAAGGCAAAAACATTTACATTTTCCCTGAACTACCATGGTCATTTTGCAACCTGTGATTAGATAAACTTCCCTATTTTTAAACTTAAAATTGATTGTGTGACTATATCAACTGAACTTTTTCCTGGAACTGGTAAGTAGTTTGTATATTTTAGAAGTTCAAAATTAATAGCACTGTGTAAAGTATATGATTCTGTTTCACTGTATTTGTATTAGGAAGTACTTCCACTAAAGATTGTCCTCTATTTTTTTCATGGAGTCATTAGACCTTCTCATTTGGTGAAAGTGCATTTTGAAATACATCCTATTTTTTACCTTAGGATCTTTTCATATAATTATGTATTTCATAAGGTCAAGATCCACATCTGAGTCTCTTTAAAAGTTAATTATATCAGCTAGCATAGTGTTCTGTACTTGCTAAGTATTCTGGAAAAGGACTTGTATTTTTCCATGTCCTGCTATTTCATGTCTCAGTTTCCTTATAACTTAAGTACTTTGGTTTGGTGGGATAACTAAGACACCTTGTGCATATGTAAACAACTTACACAGAACTCACTTTTATGCACCAGTTTTTATTTTGTTTATTCATTTTTAAATTTTTTTATTTTTTACATCATTGTTCATTTTTAAACAATATTTACTTCCCCCACCCACCCCCTCAGGTGTAGTCTCCATAGAATTTCCTTCACCAATGCACCTGTGCACCATCACCACAGTCCCCTGTATGCACCATTTTTAAAACTGATGGAATCAATGGTGAGCAGCATTGGTCTACTGATTTCTTTTTAAATGCCATTGATGTTTTCTTCCTGAGAAGCTAGGGTATTTTGTATCTAGTAGATCTGTAGCTAGAGTTAAAAATGTCCAATCCCTGTTTGGAATCTCATAACTTGGTAAGAAATTTTAAAATATGATACCATGTCCTTCAGTTAAACCTTGAGGTTTTTGCTACAATTTTTCTGTAAGAAAAATTACTATGTGACTTGTGTTTAAGGAAGTTAGGTTCATATAATATACATGTGACATCAGCTTCTATGCCCAGTTTCCTACATAAGTACAGTCAGAAAAACAGATGTAATTATAATCTTGGAAGGAAAGAAAAAAGCCCTAAACTTGACTGCTCCCTAGAAACAGAAGCATTTGTGACATTATTTTTAAAGGAATCTTTGTTTCATCACTTTATTATTTCGTAAGAGAAGTACAAGGAAACATCCCTCTATGTTTATGCTTTTGGAAACAGTTTTCTCATAATGCAGTCAGTTGTTTTGCTTTGTGTATATTCAAAGCCATGTTCTTAGTACTAAATAAGCTTGATTACTATAATTTTTGTTGTTTATTGGTATTATGTACTGTTCCTCTTTATATATACATTTTTATCTCAAAGTCTATTGTATCATATTTCTATAACCTTCAGTTTTGGTAGTATTTACATGTTAAATCTTTTATTTTTATGATTTTCAGGGTAGTTTTCTTAGTAAATTTATCTTACAATTAGCATAATATAATATTTTTCTTAAAAATCCAATCTAATACTCACTGTTAAATTTATGAAAGAGTTAAATGATTACTTTTTTTTTTTACTCTTTCTTTCTACAAGTTTATTTTGTTTTCCTTTGTATTGTTGGCCAGTTGTTTTGCTACTTTGTTTTCCCCTATGTCTTGCTGCATTGTTACACATAATCCCTTTCTCCCTCTGTAAACTCAGAAACTATAAAATTTAGTCATATATAGCTTTAATTAAATAACACTACTTTTTAAATATACATAATTATAAGTTAACCAACGGTAAGCTTTCTAATTTCTGTCCTGCATAACAAAACATAATTTTAGCACTCATTAATTATCCATTGAGCATTCTCATTCCAATATGATTTATTCTTATCTGGAGTTTTAGTTCTACCATTTTTAATCTCCCAAAGTTATTATTTACTTTCACAATGAATAATTAATGTAATTAACAGACATTAAAAATTAATTTTAGGCTCTTTTAGGAAAATTACAAATGAACACCTGTTCTCAGTTCTGACTTCCCAGAGTTGCTCCCCAGCCCTGGCAGCTCCATTTCCTCCTGGGCCAACCTAATGGCAGCTTCATGGTGTAGCGCTTCATCCCTGTTGCATCATATCTATCATTTCTTCTCCAATTAACTTGTTACTGACATTTCTACTTTGCATTTCTTTGCAGTTTAGTTCTCTATGGAGTTGTAACTACAAGTTAGAATGGTCTTATCTTTTCTGCACTTTGTGCTATTTTTTCCACAAACTCCTCCCCCATCCCTCTCAGTGTGAGAATTTTCAGAACTCAAATTTTGGCAGGAAAACTCATATCAAACAAGAAATGTCTGTTTAGTTATCTATTCTGACTGGTGACAAGGTTACCTAGGTTATGCATTGCAGAACTCCAGGGCATTCTGTTTGTGGCCACTGGTGTTTCACACTATCCAAACAGTACAGGTAATTAATAGTTAAAGTGAAATAGTATCATGAAGCGTTTAACCCCAACAGTGCTGTCCGGTCCAGATGATATGGGCTTAGATCGGTACCATAACAGCAATTTCCAAAATTGCCTTGAGTTGGAGAATTAGCCTGTTTTTTTGTTGGCAAGCCCACTGCCAGCAATTTTAAGTTCAACTTGATATTTCAAACTCCTAAGACTAGAAGTAGAATTTGTAACACTAATTTGCCCAACTTTATTAAAAAAAATACAAGAAAAATGGCTCAGCAGAGATTCAATAGTCTCTTCAGCTTTCACTCTTGAACTCTTTATTTCATGTTAGTATAGGAGCTGCTTTTTCTTCCCCACACCCTGTTTGGCTTCTCAGGGGTGAAGAGAGGAGACCACAGGTGGTGTTCCTGCCATTTTTTTTAGCAGGCCTGATCTACAAATGGGAAGGAACCCATCTTGATGCAACTCATGTGAATCAGCTTCCAGGTCCTAGCTAGGGGACAGTTTTGCAAGTTAAATTATGCTGAAGGAAGGCCAAGTGTTTGTAGTCTATTCATGATTCTTCCAGCCTGTATCTTTACTGGAAACAGTGCTGCCTAGAAAGTTGAAATTTCACCTGAGATTTCAGGATGACATAGCTGTATGTGTATGTATGTGTATGTCTTCAGCTAACTATTTAATGGAAAGTTCCAAGAAAGTTATTGAATCTAGATAAAATATACATGTTTCACATCATCACATAATTCTGTTTTAAAATGGATGTTATACAACTACTTTTTTCTGCAAAACAAAATACAGTGTAGTGAGTGGGAAAAAAATCGTATCCCTTTGTTTTATGAACATAGATGTTTTGTTGGGTATTTTCTATAGGGTGTTGTAAAGTAAATGGATCAGGCTTTTTGCATCACTAGCCTCTGTGGCCATCACCTGTGGCCTTGATTGTGCTAATTCAGGAGGCACTTGGGAGCATGGGTGAGGGGCACAGATGCCTGATTGTAGACACCTGGAGCATGGGGGTGCACGCATGCATAAGTGTACGCACCTGCGCCTAGAGGTCAGGGATATAAGGGTGATGTCACACAACACCAGACCGGAGGATGATTACGTGAGGATGAGTGACTACAGAAGAGGTGAGACCAAGAGGAAAGCCAGAGGGAGCCTAGAAAAAAATGTGTAGAGATTCCTGGGGGGCTAAGGGGCCCCGTTGCTCCTGGGGCCAGACCCCCTGCCTTGCCAGCCTTCAGGAAATGAATGAGCAGAAAGGAAGGGAAGGGATAGGAATAGTATGAGTATCAGGGTGAGAATATTTTTAAATGTTTCTAGTTAATATATATAATTATAATTCTTGAGTTTTTTGTATTAATTTGATATTATGAAAGAGTACTTATAATATATGTGCATTTGAGTTTAAGTTGCTTGTTTTTTTGACTGTTATGTTCCATAAAAGACAAAGAGTGCCCTAGAAACTCAGTGATTTTGGGCCTCCCCTGGCGCAGCGGTTGAGCGCTGGGTTGCGAGGCTGCCCGCAGCTTCTGTAGCGCCAGTTCGATCCCAGCCACCGGCGAGGGTCCCCCCCCAAAAAAAAAACCCTCAATGATTTGTTCATTGAGTCAAAGGTCACCCTGAACCCCTTATAATTTAAATGAAAAATGTTTAAAAAAAGTCATTTGCATAATTTCAAGAAAAACACTAAAAATACTATATAAAGTTTTCTGAATTTTCTTTAAGAAAGACATCCTTATTTGTTAGACTACTAATTATTAATTACTTCAAAAAGGATTCTTCTAAAATCATATACTTATGTACTTAGATATTTCTTCAAGTTTTAGTTTCTTTATATACACTTAAATATATATATACACTATTTTATATAGATACAGAAAAACAATTAGCCTAGTTTCAAACTCAAATTATTAATTTGAATCAATTGATGGAATCATGGTTTTAATACATTTGACGGTGACACCGGTCAAAATAAAATATTAACATGTCACTTTTTTTTGATTGTATTTTTAATGAGTGTTTACTGCTTCTGTTTTTGTAAAAGAGGATTCATTGATATTATTGAATATGACTTGAAATGATTAACCAGAAATTAACACAAATTTGTAAAAAAGTGTAATATTAATGTGTTTTGGGTTTCTTTAATGTTATGTTTTTCAAAGCAAAGGGAATAGTGTTCTAATTGTCAGTGTTTTAATTATTTTGCAGGTGCATTTTCTTGATTGTAAATCAGAACCTTTTGGTCAGAAAATGGAAAATCTAATGCAGATTAGGAAATTTGCAAATGAAGTGAGAAAAAGAAATATTTTACTCTATGGTCTTCTCATATATTACCCACAGGTAGGTAAAATGTTAGTCTTTTCAGAGTGAATGTTCTGTAGACTACAGTTTCAATGGTGAGAACTTGATTTCGTTAAAAACAAAGAGGTTATGATAAGTAAAAATGATTCATATTTCTGTAGTAGGTAGAATCTATAGGAGAAGAAAGAAAAAACAAGTGTTTTGAGTTGTGATAAAAAGAGGGAAATTGGCAGATAATCTCATACTTGGTACCCCATGTATGATTGCCAGATTTAGCAAATTAAAACACAGATTACACAAATTTAAATTCAGATAAAATTTTAAGTATATCACAAATTTGGAATTTGAAATTCAATTTTAACTGGATTTGTGTTTGGTAATACAGTTAAATTTCAGTTTCCTCATTTTTCTTCTGTCTTGTTTCTCTTTCTAATTGGGTGATTGTACATTTCACTCTTCTACTTCTGAAATTCTCTCTTCTGCCAGTTTACTTCTATTATAAGCCCTTTTTCTATTTGTCTTAATTTTATTCAGAATCTTTTTGTGTTCCCAATTATTACATGAAATAAATTTCACTAAAATTTTTTGTTGTTCTGAAATTCAAATATAATTGTAGCTCTTTTATTTGCTATACCTGTTAACCATTTTAGAATGCATACTTAATGGAAAACTATTCATTTTTGCACATCCAGCATACTTTACACATTTATGAAGTGAAGTACAGTGAATATTTATGCAACTCTATACAAGTAAAGGCGCCCTGACTGAAAAAGTGGCCTTGTTGGAATGGAGAAATATTTACAGCCTTTTGTGGTATCTGACCCTTGTTATATTGAGCAAACTTTGACCTAATTCATCTCTCTGCTAAAACTGGGAAGGAGATGATCCATCAAGGCTTTCAAGATATGTCTTATGACATTAGGAAGCTAAAAGATAGCTTACTTAGTTGTTGCTTTGACTCTCCTTTAAAAAAATAGTGAAAATGTTCCAAATATATGAGAATGTTTAAAATACAGAGCTTACTTTTGTCCTGAAAGATCAAAGTGGAGCTGACTCTTACTTAGCCAACAAAGTCCAGTGTAAAATTCTGTCTTAAAGAGCATGTATCCAACTATCCTGGGATAGTCATCAGATATGACATTAAAGAGGGACCGTGTTTAAAAATTTCGGGAGGCATCACTGAATAGAGTGAGACTTTGACAGGGTTTTCACAATCTTTCATGTGAATGAGCATTTGAATCCCCAAATTGGGGAAAAGGAGCATGTATTTTCCATTTGCTTCAGTGACCCTTTAACCATAGACACTCATAGGACTAATGTCCCTTTAAAAAGATTTTGGAAATTGCATGTGTTTCTTTTTTGATTGTTGAGTAATATTCCATTGTGTATATGAACCACATCTTCTTGATCCAGTCATCTATTTTTGGGCATTTGGGTTGTTTCCAAAAGAATAACTATAAGAAAGAAAAAATCAAAATCAACAAACAACTATGAACCAGAGACACATTATGGGGGAGCGGGGAAAGGAGGAATTGGGGTCAAAATAAGGAGGTTGCAATTGTATGGGGAATATAAAAATAAAATTTAAACAAAACAAAACAAAGCACAAAAAAACAAAACAAAAAAGACTTTGGAAAACCCTTCTCAAAACGGAAAAGCCAGAGAGGAAAGCCAGAGGAGTGAAGGGAGAGGGGGGGGAAAGAGTGTAAGGGACTGTGATGATGGATTATAGTGTGGGAGAACTCTAAGGGACTATACCTGAGGGGAGGAAATCAAATATTGTCTAAAATTTAACAGTGATGTAAGAAAATAAATCTATATAAAAATACATTGTATGTGGCACTACCTCTGCACACAGTGTTTTTCTACTTCAGTACTAATTTGTTCATCTAGTTAAATCAATATCTCCAATACTGAGTGCCTACTTAACAGGCACTCTCAAAATTAGTATGTGTGAGATATAAAAGGTGGATCAGTTCTCTGTTTAGTGAGTGCTGGTTTTTACTTTTCATTGTGCTCTGAGATACAACTTTTTGTGATGTTAATACATTGGACTTTGTTATCTTATCAAATCCTTCTCTTTGATAGTCAAGTGAGTTTTCATATATGATTAATAAGTATCCTTTTAAGTCTCTGATAAGGTAAACATTTTTCATAAGACAGAGATAGCGTTAACTGCTTTTCTTTGGATAGGTTTTCAGTTTGTTTGATAGCTCCTCCTTGGAGTAGAACATGTATTGAATTGAGTTTAATATCTGTGCTGTACAAATGGTATTTCCAGTTTAATGAACACCTTCTTATGTATGTATTTCTGTTAATGTATATAGTCTTGATTTTTGGCTATAATTTCAGTGTTGATGTGTAAGATGTTTATAGTTAAGTAGAATTACTTAAGCCTTTTAAATACATGATGTTAAAACTCTTTGTATTTGTATAGAGTTACACACATATATAGGACTTTCTGTGTTTGTTGAAATCTGTTGCTTCAGTCCTTCATTAATTTTTTGGTTTAGAATATAGTATATAATTAATTAACTATAGTTTCTCATTTCATATTATTTATAAATTAGATGTTGCTTGTATTTTCTGTACACTTTGGATAAAATTGATTTGGGAAAGGATAGGACTGATTTCCTCTCAGTATTTGTGAAAGTTCTATGATCTTGGTGATCAATTATTGACTTGAATCATTGATAAATGCATTTAATTGTATGATATTTCAGTTCAGTTTCTCCATGTTTCCTTTAATGATATAAGAAACTGAAATGCTTTAAATATAGGTAAGTTCCTTAGCTAGATCATTGTAGTAAAGTATTAACTTTATTTCAAAATTGATTTTAAAATATTCTAGTCATCATAAAACATTAATAACTTTTAAGCATTTTTAAAATTTCTTCCTTTTTTTTTTTTTTTGCTGTAACATTGGTTTATGTTGTTGTTCATATATTAGAAGCGTAGAATCTCCTCCTCAGGTTTTGTAGCCATGCGGCACCCATAACCAAGACAACCTTCCTCTATCATAGTCCATAGTGCTCCTTCCCTGCTTTGCTTTTGCCTTTCCCCCTGCACTGGCTTGTCTGAGGGTCTCAGTTGTATAGTCAGCTTTCTGATGTCGGTACTTGGATCCCCTTTAACCCTTTGTTTCTTTATATTCCACATATAAATGATACTATTTAGTATTTGTCTGTCTTCTTTTGACTTGTTTTGCTTAGAATTACCGCTCCCAGCTCAATCAGTGTTGCCACAAATGGCAAGAGCTCACCTTTTTCTGATAGCTGAGTAGTACTTCATTTTGTGTGTGTGTGTGTGTGTGTGTGTGTGTGTGTGTGTGTGTGTAAGTAAAACCTTCCTGATCCACTCATCTGTCTTTGGGCATATAGTTTGTTTCCATAGCTTATTATTGTAAATAGCGTTGCAGTGAACATGGGAGGAGGGTATGTTGGTATGTTTTCTGTGTGTGTGTGTGTGTGTGCACGCACGTGCGCGCGTGTATGCGTGCGTGTGTGCGTGCGTGCATTGATACCCAGGAATAGACTTGCTGGATCACATGGCAGATACATTTGTAATCTTTTGAGAAACCTCCATACTGTTTATCATGGGGACTGGACCAGCCTAAGTTCCCACCAACAGTGTACAAGTGTTCCTTTTTCTTCCCATTCTCATCTGCCCTTGTCTTTGGCCTTTTCGATATGGGCCATTCTCACAGGTGAGAGGTGACATCTCACTGTGGTTTTGATTTCCATTCCCTGACAATAACTGATGTTGAACATGTACCTGTTGGCCATCTGTATGTCTTCTTTGGAGAGGTGCCTATTTGACTCTTCTGCCCATATTTTGATTGGATTATTTCTTTTCTTTTTGCTGAGTTGTATGATTTATTTATTTTTTTTGTAGGTCATTGAATTCAGTCCATTGTCAGGTGTATGGTTTGCAGATATTTTCTGCCATTCAGTGTCTTGTTGTTTTAGTGATGGTTTCTTTTGCTGTGCAGATGCTTTTTAGTTTGATCTAGTGCCAGTTATTTATATTCTCTTTTGTTATCCTTATTGCTCAAGGCAAATCCACAAAGATATCTCTGAAATCTGGCATGGAGTGTTGTGCCTATATTTTCTTACCTGTATTTTGTGGTGTCAGGTCATACATTCAAGTTTTTCAAGATTTTTGAAAAACATTTATAATTTAAGATAAGCTGTTTATGGGTAGCTTTGACTTAAAGGTCACATGACAACTTATATAAAATTCCCTGTTTTTTTTAACCTGATACTTATTTTCATCTTAGTAAATAAATTAGGAAAGATTGGAAATTTATACTGGAGACTAGATATACAGCATGAATTTATCATTATAATTTGTGAATTTAAATCAGGTCTAATCCCTCTTGCTGAAATAACCATATAGACATAACATAAACAGGTTTTATAGTTTAATCATGATAAAGAATCTTAGTTCCTTTTTTAACTTACTTTTTTTTTAAAGATTTATTTATTTATACAAGCACTGGGTACAGTCAGAGCACGGGAGGGTGAAAGAATTCACCAGAGTAGCGGGGAACATAACAGGCAGACCGACCAAATACACTGTTGAGGGGAGCAGCGGGCGCGGCAGGAGAGGTCTACGCACCATGTGGGATCCTCACCAGCGCCCGGGGATCGAACTGGTGCTGTAGAGGCTGCAGGCAGCTTTGCAGCCCAGCGCTCAACTGCTGCGCCACCAGGGGAGGCCCCTAAACTTTTTTTTTTTTTTAATGATTTGCCATTGAGTTATAGTTCCACCTTAAGCTTTAGCAATACAGCTTCACACCTAGATATATGTAAATACCAACACTAAACCCATCATCAAATTGACCATCTCTAGCTATTCCCCAATACCCCTTTCACTTGTTCTCTGGAAACCACTATTTTGTAATCAGGATCTAAGAATTTTTAACTATTATTTTAAATAATTCTGTGCAAGGAATATTACTATCCAATCATCCTGTTAACCCAGATTTGCTATGTAAGTCATCATTATAGTTAATGCCATAATTATGTGTTTGGGGA